CGCCCGGTCTGGGACCCGAGGTGGGGGGTGCCCGCAAAGTCTCCCCCTTCAGCTCCGGCTGCGGGAGAGCCCGGTGCGGGGCTGCGGGAGAGCCCGGTGCGGGGCTGCGGGAGAGCCTGGTAACCCTTTCTTTTTTTTTTTCCCCCGTTTTTTAAAAGCTCTGCCGCTGTCTGAGCGCGCCCTGGGTTTTCCAGCATTTATTTGGAGCATTTGATTCTAATTATCCGCGGAATCCAGCCTTCTAATTGCGACTTGGGAAAAAAAAAAAAAAAGCAACTCCCCAAATTCCAGTTTTATCCGTTGCTTCCCCCCTCAGCCCCCCTGCCCCCCCGGAAAAAGGGGGTCAAGTACAAGATTTACAGGGGAAAAAAAATAAATTAGAAATTGCGCGAGTGCTTCAAGCATTCCAGGATTTAAAAAGTAACAGGAACGCGGTGGTTTTGAGAGCATTTTGTTTAATTACTGCGATGTATAATCACATTGAAATAAAGCGTACACATTGAATTTAAATGTAACCCTGTTTAAATGTGGCTGAATGTCCATATGCTTTCTCTGTGAAAATGAATATATTCTGTTAAAGTGCAAAGCAGGATTTTATTTTATTTAAAAAGTCTCTTATTTCCTTCCTAGTAATTTCTCAGAATTTCAGCTTTCAGTTTGCAAAGTCACAAAGTGACTTTGGGCGAAGCTTTTTTAAATGTAATTTTACAACGTGTCTTTTAAAAAAAATATTCTTGTTTTTAAGGCTCAAGGCATGCTATATGTGCTGAAGTTACAAGTGAGGAATAATTGAACTTTTCTTCCAGGGCCCAATCCAAAGCTTAGTGAGATTGTGGAAGAGTTTCTGTTTCCTTGGGTTTTGGACCGGTGGCTTTGCAGTGCAGTTGGACACTCGGCAGGACTATTTTTTTTTTTTCCCTCATCTGACAAATAATTAATGTACATTTCTATAATGCCTGTCTCTTTCAGTTCTCGTAGCTCTTTGAGAAGTTTACCTCACCGAAATTCTGTGAGTCAGGTAAATTGTATTTCATCCGTTTTTGAGGTGGCTGAGTCAACGCAATCATCACTATTTTTAGTCCAGCTTTTCAAAGACAGCCTCTCCGCATGAGGAGTCCCTTCCTTGGAAGATCTGAACCTTGTTGCGTGGCTGAGGCTGGGCAGGGATTTGTGGGACACTGAGAGCTTTTGGGGCAAGCCCAAGGAGGTAGGAAAACAAGATGCCCCCTATTTTCTGATCCCCGCCTTCAACTCCAAATCAAATTCCTGGAAAAGAAGCCCTCAAGGACAGCAGGAGTTAGAGACGTTGGGTTTCTTCTCCCTTGCGTGTTGCTGCCTTTCACAGCTCCCCACTCTACCCAAGGCAGGGAATTGCGTTTCTCAGCCCACACACTTGAATCCCTCTTTGTCCAACGCAGGTAGAAGGAGGAGGACAACTTTTGGTAGTTGCTTCCTCTTACTCCAGAGAAGGGCAGGGGGAAGAGGTAGTGCCTGGAGCCCAGAGCAGGGTACGTGTTCTGCTTCACATCTGCCTTTGTGATCTTGCACAAACCATTTCAAACCGTCTCTGAGCGTCAGTTCTCAGCCGAGCTGGCGGAGGGAGCGGCGTTTCCCTGCCTGGCACACCAACCTGAGCTGGGCAAGGGTGCAAGAAGCTGAGATGACACAGGAAGAGGAGGGAGCTGGAGCACCTGGGAAACTTCAGTAGCTCCGGTTTCCTGAGAAGTTCACTCATCCATGAAATGAAATGAGATTACGCTGGGACAGCAAGTGGGTTCAAGTGGCGTCATTTGTCTTACCGGGGTCTCATGTTCAAATTTTGTATGACAAAGTACCAGCGATGTTTGCACAGGGATGGGCAAATGATGGAGCTGCCGGGCAGGTCTTGCAGTGATCTCACATGATGTGTCATTTAGACCTGCCTTAATGCTTCTCTCTCTTCACCCAGCCTGCTGCAGGGCGGGCCCTGACATCAGGATTTCCAGGAAAAGGTTGCAGATCTGGAGGGAAGAACCAAGATTCCCATTGCCCAATGGAGCCTTAAAGAATATACCCAAGCTGGGTATGTTTAGAGGGGTTTTGGTGGAATAGAGCTGGCTGTTCCTGATGGAGAGCGGGCACAGCAGAGGCCCACCAGCTGCCTGTCAGTATTGGTAATACTGCTTCATTTTATTTGCAGTCTGACAAGGTCTTCAATAAAGTTCCTGGGCAGCTCACACCAGTGTTGTTTGGGATCAGACACTAAATACAAGGTCTGCATGTTTGGCTCCATCACATTTTCACTCGTCACCTGGGAACACTCAGAATCCCCATGGGATGGAGGTGGCTTGACCTCCATCCTGGTTCCTCTCTGCTATACCTATTCGTTATGCAGGAATAAGTGTATGTGTGTGTTTGTGTTGCCTTCAGAGCAGTCAGAGCCCCACTAACGTCAGGGGGGAGAAATGCCATCTTCAGTAGAAGACAGGGAAGGTATTTTCAGAGCATGAGAGCACGTTGGGAACCACTGCAGAGGATGGGATATGCTCTGCAACGCGCACACGTACTGCGCTCCCTCCCTGGCTGGGTGCTGGCCCAGCCCAAAGGTGGGCTCTTATCGCTTAATCTGATCAAGTGACAAAGTTATCGCTTTTCAAAAATTGGCTACCTTTGAACTGCGAGCAGATTTTGCATGGGAATTTCAAAGAGCAAATAGAAAGAGCCTTTACAGGGGAAGAAAAAACAACCCCTGATCAGATAAGAGTAACCTATGCGTCATGTTAAAATAAGCCTCTGACATCTGCAGGATTAATGCTCTGCCCAGAGGATACAGCAGTTCAGTGGCAGCTCTGAGATTGCTGTGAAACAATGTTCAGTCCCTTTTCAGGAAAGCTACCGATATCTGAAAAGAAAGCAGAGACCTGTGGTCACTTTCTACTAATTTCAATTTCTTAACTTTGATTTTTTTAGCAGCAGAAGAGCTGAAAATCTTTGCTCTTCAGAGAAAATGCAGTGATGGGTGCAATCTTACACTGTGCACTTGTGAAGGCTCCAGCACAAAACCAGAGCCTGTTTGCGCTGTTTTAAGACTAAATTTATATTGCTTAGCTGCTTGCAGATGAGTCTACATCCAAAATTTGTCTTCTGTTGCCTTGCTGCTCTGAACAATTCAGGAGTAAAAGGGACAGAAGCTTTTTGCAAATTTTAATTAACACTTGGGGCATTTACTTCTCGGCATCTCCACAGCTCCCACCACTGTGCTTAGCTCTGCTCTTGAAATTCATGTTTTCACCTGCACAGCAGGAGTGAAAAATTACTGCGTGCTGTCATGAAAGTCACTGCATGCTCCCACCACAGCAAGAACAAGTTTTTTTTATTGCACAGCCACATCCAAAGCCTGTCATTAGAGGTGTTTCCATGGATTGTGAAAAGCTGGAGACTTGAGGCTCCCACCGCTGTGAGTGGATGCAAACGTGCCCCTCTTGCGCAGCTGCTGCAGTCTGCTGAGAACAGGGGGAAAGGAGGCTTAAATATTAGTTTAATATTAGTTTTTACTGTGTTAACGGGGTGCTTAGCTCTGACATCCCTCCTTTTTCTGGACAGGAATAGTTTGGCAGCTGCAGGGTGAACAACGGAGGAACATGTCCCCCAGCAGCTCCCTTCCAACCCATGAACATTTACCTGGCGCTGATACAAGAAACTCACCTGCACTGGGCAGGACTCCACTGACCTCTCTCTTGCTTGAAATGCAAGTGGAGAGGAATGCACGGGATTCCAAACCCTTTTCTAGGTTTCACTGTGGCAGCAGATATCAGAGAAAAAAAAGGACATTTATTTTTAGGAAGTCTTGACTTCAGGGTGAGTCAAAGGCAGTGAGGGCTTCATGAAAATCTTCACGTTACATTGCGCCTGGCGTGCAATTTCTGCTAAAATAAAATAATATAGCCTTTACTAACAAGAGCTTTTATCATTATTAATTCTTTAATATCCCAGTGGAAAAAAAGTTAACTAGTGGCTTGTTCTGTGTTTTTATCTTGCAGTTTTCCCAGCCTGAAGTTGCCCACTGTGGTGCCAGCAGCCAAGGACTCGGAGGGGAAACAATTAGAAACCCAAAAGGGACAGCTTTCTCTGTCGGTCTCAGAAAATATGCGTGTGTAAAGACCAAATCCAGTGGGAAGGGAAAGATATGTCAATGTGTTATTTCTGTTCAAATATTCCAGGATATCAGCAACAAAACAAAATTTGCTTTTGCGGGGCCAACACCACACAGGTGTGTGTTATGCATTAAAGGCCAGGCGAGACACTGGCAAAAGATCTCTTTCTTCCTGCACAGCACAGGCAGGACGGCGGCTTTTCAAAATAATGAAGAACCACAATTCTATTCATTATAATTATTGCGGTAATTGTTTGTCCTATGGTACCACTTAAGAACCCCTCTTCTGAACCCCGTCCTTATAGAAGCTGTACAAATACAGGAGGAAATAAAGGTAATTCTTCCTCTGAAAATCCTTTTCAGCCTTAATCTTGCTAACCCTGGAGTTAAAGATCAGATTTCCACAGGGAAGGATCAGGGATTTTAATGGAAAAAATATTACCACTGGAGAAATCTTAACTAGTAGAAGGAAGCTCCTGAATTCTTTGCGAGATCCCATTTAGCAAACGCAGCTGAGTGCTCAGCAGGATTGTGTATAACTGCTTTATACATAATTGAATGTATGTTTTCTTTAGAAGAGTCCCCAAATGTTAATGCTGCTTTACAAAATAGTTATTTCTGCGCACATTCGCTTTCTCTGTTTTATTTAAACCCAATTCCTGGCAGCCAGAGGGGCGAAAGACTAGACCTGAATGAACACAGAGTAATTTAGGGTGCCAGGGACAGCAGGGTTGAGGTGCTGGTGGGGACAGCTGCTGGGTGCTGTGACAGTAAATGCTTGTTTCTCTGTCACTTTTGCAGCTGTTTGGAACACAGCAAAATAGGGTCGGGCGGGGGGACGTGGCGGCGCGCATTTTGTTGAATGAAGATCAGCATCAATGATGCCTCAGCGCCTGCCGGCCGGCCTGACATTTATGAATCGCTTTCCCTTTGAGACTTTAAGGCTCAGAGCCTCCCTCTTAAATGTCTCGTTTGCCCTGCTTGCTTGTTTTTGTTTTTTTTTTTTTACATTGTTTTGTTTTCTGGTACCTTAACTTTGAAAAGAGGGGAACGTGAGGGAAAATCGGGACATGAAAATAAAAGCTGACGGTAAATAGATGAGCGAGCAAAAAACCTGACACGGATGATGGTCCATACAAAGCTGCACACCAGCAGGAACTGCAGAACAGAGAGGGGGTCATTGGGTGTTCTAATCTACCGTTTTATCACACTTTTTCCTTTATAGCTTGATTCATCTTCCAGTAAAGCTAAAGGGAAGGCTTCCATTGCTTTTTATGAGAATTGGACTGGTCCTTTAGAGTAACAACACTTTTCTGCTGTTTAATAGGCTTAAAACTTTGCAGCTTGTATTGTTGAAAGATGCTGTTGACACACGATGTCCCCTGAGCTCAGCTGGGTTGAGGTTGGTGTTCGTTCCTGTGACTGTCCCAACCTGCGCATCTGGCAGACCTCAGCACCATCCTCAGCAATGAAAACCCACACAGATCAGTGTTCCCTTCCCGGGTCCAATTATTCCCTTGTTTTATTTTTTTTTTTTTGCTAAATCTATAGCCTAAACCCTCCGCTTTTCCTCAGTAATTTCCTCAATTATCCAGTTTGTTTTACAGACATTTCCATTTAATGTGGAATTTGCCGTAAAAGTTTCATAAAGACCCCACAAAGGAAACCATTAGCTTACATCTATTTAAATTTATCTAGCCAAACCTCGTGGCTAATCCAAAGGGAGAGCGAAAACTGCAGTATACCCGAGGCCTTTAACAAATAGCTTATTTTTCTTTCCCTATACAATGCACCATTATGTAGGTTTTTTTTTTTTCCAAGGAGAACAATGCGAGCAGCGGTGATGGGAAACTGGAAAAACAAAAGAGGCATTTAGAAGGGACCGGTTTACAGTCTGAAAAGCGTTGAATAATGTTACACCTGATAACAGATACTTTCTCAGAGACCATCGGAACGGTTTAGCGTGGCGGTATTTACTGAAGTGGGATATGCGACACACGACTAAACTCATCGATGACCGCCGAGGCCGCTTTATTAAAGTGGTTTTGCTAAAAAAACAGAGCATTTATGAGCTCAATGCAGAGTCAAGGGCTTGACAGCGATAGACTATGCTAAGTAGAAATCACGGCAACATCAGAAGTGGCAAATGATGAAGGCCTGAGGAATTAAATCTAACGTTTTTATTCAGGGGTTTAACCTAATGTCTTTCCTCAGGGATTTAACCCAACATTTTTCCTCAGGGACGGAGTCCGGGCGCAGCGGGGCGAGCTGAGGGGGCTGCGGCCGCCCCGGCCTCCTTGGGCGAGAGATGGCCGAAGGGGGCTTGGCCCCAACGCCTTCCCATTCTTCCCCTTGTGGGTTTTTTTTTTTAACTTTGCACTTCTTCGCCTTTTTTCAAAAGGGCCGGACCGGACAAACGCCTCTTCTCCAGAGAACCCCCGGCCGCGGTGACCCTGGCCTCAGCGGCAGTGGGGCCAAGCCGCCGCCGCCGCCAACGGGCACCTTCTGGCTGACCCGCATCGTGCTGCTGCGATCCATAGCCCTGCTTTACTGTGAGTCTCCGGGCGCTGCCCCGCGCCTCCTCTTTCTCTCGCCGCTGCCCGGGGAGCGGGTGGGGGCCCGGCGGAGCCCCGGGCTGCTGGAGGCGGCCGGGCTGGTCGCCAGGCAGAACCCCATGAAGTCTTGGGGTTGCCGTGTCCCTCAAAGGCCTTCCCTGCTGCAAAGCCTCAAGTGGGGCAGGCGGGGAAGGGGGGAGTCCCTGGTGGTCCCCTCCCGTGGGGTCCTTGGTGGTGCCGAGGTCCCACCGTGGTGGGAGAGGAGGCCCGTGACCATCTTGGGTACTTGGTGGTGAATTTGTTTGTGGGAAAAGGGGCTGCAGGAGTTTTGCCCCCAGCTCCTGGGTCCGGGCCACATTCTGTGTGGTAGGGATGAAGCAGCTGCCCTGAGGAGCCCTGCCTGCCTTTTACCAAAGCACTGCTTAATTTTAGGTGTTGGGAGTACATGTTTGCGTATGCCAAGCTTGAGGGAACGACTGAGACGTGAAATGGGAAGAGCCGCTTGTTTTCAGCTCTTGCTTTACTCGATGGGACAGGGTTGATGGCAGGGGTGGTGGTGGAGCTCCCGTGTTGGAAGAGCTGGAGTAAGAACTGGCTCACACTGCGAGGCTAGGACCTGTCAGCGGAGCTGGTTGGAGCTGGTAGTCCTTTTTTCTTCAAGGTAGATGTTGTGTGCTAACCGTGCAAGATAGAAACTCCTCATTCTACACATTAGGATCCTGTGTGGGTGCCTAGGCTCCTTGGGTGCCAACACTACCAGTTGGGACCTGAAATTGACATGACCTTAGAACAGTTAATGGTGAAATTGATTTCCAACCTCAGCTGTGCTCGTTTGGCTCTCGCTTTGGCAAGGAACACTGAGAGCCGCGCTTGGAGCCCACTAGTGCTCCACTTAAAAAATATTCACAGTGAAACCTAAACTGACATGTAACACACTACGTTACAAATTCTAAACTTGCCCCAGATTTGTCCACAAAATCGTTAGGATTTGTAGGCTGCCAGCCTGCTTAGATTATTTTGCATCAAAACCATGCAGAAGTTGTAGTTTTGTATGGTTTTGACACGTGCTCTGTTTCTAGTTTGGTTTCAGCTCTCGGTGAAATGTGGGGTTATGACTCTTTCAGTCAAAATGAAAGCGATTCCGATATTCCCCCGTGTGTAAATCCAGACTGCTGAGTTTCCCGTAGCTCAGTTTGCAGTTTCCTTATGAAAAACTGATTAGCGTTCTCCGCTCTGCATTTGATGGAGGCCGCTTCTTTCTGATCACAGATTTGAGGTTATAAATATGCCCCATCTGGGACCAAATTCTCTCCTGTAGGGTGGTGGCGTGTTTGGTGGGAAGGGGCTGGTGGGGAGGTGGGAAGGGAGAGGCGGTGGCTGGAGGGGTGGGAGTTGGGGAGGGGGTGATGAGGTAGAGGAGGGCGAAGAGTGAGTTAGACATATGGGAACTTCTGGGGAGCGGGAGACCTGATTCGGGACAAGGAGAGCAGGAAGAGGAGCAAGTATCCCATTCAGGGTCAGGTGAGTTACAACATGAAAGTGATTGAAACCTACGAGCTGGAGGGAGAAAGGAAGAGTGAGCATTTGTAAGGCAGAGGATGAAGCTGAGATTGAAAGCTGGTAAGTGAAATACGGAGAAGAACTGGATTCTGCACTTTTTGAAAGAGGAAAGAGGAGTGGGAATGCCTGCGAGTAGCAGAAGGGGGGAGGAAACCCCAAAATGCTTCCACAGTCCAGAGTAAAGAAATCTTTTTGAGAGAGGTAGTGCAGAGAAAAAGATTTGGGTACCAGAGCTGGAAGGAACAGGGTAGGAGGATGGCTCTGTCCTTTGTAATGAAGGAGGTGCAAGAAAGGAAAAGTTTACCTGCTTGTTATGCAACTTCAGCTTGATTGTGATCAGATAACAGTGATTTCTGCTGTTTGTTTTGGTTGAGTAACAGCCAAGGGATCCAAAGCCAGAAACCGGGGCCAGATTTGAGACAGGTCGAATTCTGACTTGGGCCATCACTTGCTGTGGTGGTGGGGCTGCAGCTCCGATCCCAACGCAGGGGAGACACTGCACAGCCTACAGCCAAAGCACTTGTGGAGTGGAAACTAATTGCCGTGTCTGAGATGGAGAGATTGTGAAGAGGCAGATTGCTCTGTCAAAGGCTGCAAAACCATGACATGGCTGTTGGGGTGGGATGCTCTCCAGGGAAGGTGGGTTGCCTTTTGATCTCTTCTGAGAGCCTGGGTTTAGAAACAGCAGAAAACAATTTAAAGCCTCTGTGCCAAGCACCTCTTCCAAGCTCTTTTCTGAAGATGGAACCATTTACTCTGACAGATGATTTTTTTTACCAGACGCGGCGATTCTGCACACGCCGAGTCTCAGACTTGCTGAGGAAACGGTTGATGCCGTTGTGACAGTTTGACATTCCTCAGTTGTGGGATGTTTTCCACCCTTCTTTCATTTCACCCTTTTAAACGTAACCCTTTCATTCCTGCTGTCTTAAGCAACAAATCCTTTGGGGGTGTCTTGTGCTAAAGTATCAGGAACGTGGTCACCCCCTGATGATTGCAGCTCCTGCCTATTAGCACAGCTGTGTGAGCTGAAAGCTTGTCTTCTCTCTTTGGTGGAAAGGGAGGGGTGGGAGAGTGAAGGACCTTGTGGATGGGACGGAGATAAACATGATTTGGGGGATACAGTGATTGCTGAGGTGAGGGGCAAAATTGTCAAGTATGATTTGGGGACCTGTCACCTCCTTCCTGCCCCCGGCTCCACTCTTGAGAGGCTGTTTTTATTGCCTGATGTGAGCTGGGGAGATGCTTTCCCTTTGGATCTTCCCCTGTGGAAGGAGGACAGGCAGAGCAAGGCAGGTGTGAAGTGTCCTTCTGTGTGCCCTCTGTTCTCCCCCACCCCTTTTGGTTATAACAGCTTTCCTTTTATTTTTTTCTCCTTTTTTATTTTGAAGGGGGTTTCCAGAAGCAGCCAGAGCCTGGGAAGTCCCTGGCAAAGCAGCTGCTGTCTGAGAGGCAGGTTAGAGATGGGAAAGTGGGAAAGGATCTGATGATTCCTGGAGGCCAGTGACCAAAGCTACACACTGCTTGCAGGAGTGGGAAGGAAGGGGAAAATGCATCCAAGCCGAAAGTGCTCAGTGAGATCTGCTCTTAGCAGCAGGGCTGTGCCAGTGGGGTCCTCCCAGCTGAGCACTAAGGTAAATGAAATGCCTGTCTGTGCAATGCTGGCTTTAATAATAGCTAGTACTGTGTGCTTGTAAATTATGTGACACTTAAATTCTTATAACTGACAGCCCTCGGAGACATTTTCAGATCTGGGACCTCTTTCTCCACTGAGTAAGTGTGAGCAGACCAAGTGGTAAAACCCTTCTGGAGGAAGGAGAAGAAAGTGAAGTAACACAGAATCCAGCCCTGGAGAAGAGAACAATTATGTAGGTCTTACCCTGTGCCCTGCTGCCCAGACCCCTCTCTGTTCTGTAGAGGCATCTTTGTGTGGTACTGGTGTGCCAATGGAAGAGACTTGTCTCACAGACTTCCATCGTTGCTATCTCTCTGTCACTGGCTAATTGCAATCTCTAATACAGTAATTCATGAGACAGGGAGGCTTGGACAAATGCTGTTTTGAGATTTGAAGGTTTTCCGTCCTGGTCTTGCACTGTGTTTTTGTTCTTCATGGCAGGAATTGATATTTTCTAAGTAGAGAAAGTCTTTGAGGTCTTGTTGGAAGTCCCGTTACAAGTAAATAGCTGGTCCCAAAGCTCTTGATATCAAATGTGCGTTATTTGCTCCCTTCACCCTTCTAAATCAGTGGTAAGTGCCCTGTTTGGATGATTACTATCATCAGATTCCAGACGTAGAAGTTTAAGTAATTAGATATCACCCTTCCCAATTTCAGCCAGGCTCTGTAGAGTGCTTTGAAATAAAAGCTATTATTTAAATCCCGTTTATCTTCTTTCTTCGCATGTATTGTTTAATAGTAGTATTTTCTTTCCCCAGAGCTAGAGCTACGGGAGGTTCATGCTACTTCTTCCTAATTCTGAAATTTAAAGCCTTCTCGGGGGGATTTGGCTTCCTGTAGGTTGCTGGCTCTCCCCGGTGTCCTTCCTCTTCGCTCTCTCTGCCATCTCCCCTGCTTTCCCCCTTCTCTTCTCTCAGCTATATTAAAAGGCTCCCAGTAGCTTTCAGCTTGCTTAGTCAGGATTATAGTACATCTTCAGACACTTTTTCTCCCCTGAAAGGTTTTATTTCAGCGCGGTGCTTGTTAGCAAGTCTGCACAACAAAGGCAGTGTGTTAGCACTGTGTCCTCTTAGCGAGCTACATGCCCCCGTTTAACTCTGCGCGAAAGAGCCACGTAAGCGACACAGAAGTGTGTCTGGTCCTGAACAAAACACTTTCACCGTGGGGAGATAAATTCATAGCAAGCAGTGATAGTTTAAGGGAAATGATAACAAGAACTGAGAAGGGGAGGATCTGTCTCCGAGTCTGCTGTTTGCCCGGAGCTGGTTTGGAGCAGAGGGATGTTCTCAGGGCATCCTCCAGCTGCAGGCTGGAATGCCCCTGCTCTGGTTTGGAACAGTCTGGGTCCTACAGGGAAGCTTTTTAGCAGTGCCATAGCCCAGCCTTTTCTATTTGCTTTCACATCATTTCAAACAAAGAGGCGATGGGGTTAGAAGCACTTCGAAAGCCTCCAAAGCAACCACCCCAAAGTCTTGAGCTTTTTTGTTGTAAAACAAAAAAGTGTTAAGAACAGACTACTTTGTTGTGTGGTTGGTTGTGGCCGTGGGGTTGCACGATGAAAAGGGGGTGTTTGGTTTCACTCAGGCTCTTTGCTCAGTACCACGGTGTTGTTGCTTCTGTGTTGCAAAACTTTGCAGGGGAATTTATTGATTGCAAACTTATTTGATTCATTTCTCTGACAATAATGAATATTCTCCCCCTTCTTCTTTTCAGTAGTACAACCTCAGCTTGCCAGCATCCAGCAAAGGGCCTTTTTGAATGC